AGAAGAGAGTTTCCTGTTGATTTGCCATAAGCTTGAGGGAGAAAAAGAGAAGTCTCCCACAAAGGCAGGAATTTATGTTCAAAAAATAAAACATGTTTAATATTTATGGACATTTTAACATGTAAAAATGTTACATTAATATTTGAATCAAAACATAAGACACTATCTTAAAGTAACTCTCTCTCTCTCTCTCCCTCTCTGTCTCTTTCTCTCTCTTTCTCTCTGGTCTCACTATGTTGCCCAGGTTGGTCTTGAACTCATGGGTTCAAGTGATCCTCCTGCCTCAGTCTCCCAAGTAGCTGGTACTATGGTTGTGCATCATCACACCTGACTGCGTTTTCTTTTATTCATCTCTTCACCTGCACATTAGTAATGGTGTGTGGCTTGGGGATGGAGGAGGGAACTGGGAACTCTAGCACTGTTAAACAGTTATTTAGTTTAAAAAGGCAAGTGAATACAGGACTTAATCCTTTGCCAAGACCCCACTAAGAGATGACAAGGGAATTGTAAGGAGTCAGACACACAGCAATGAAAAGGATGAAGCCCTTGAGCAAATACTATGGAGAGGTAATAGGATGTTGGAAACTGATTAAGTGAGGTCAGGAAGCCCCTGCAGAGCATTTGAAGAAGAGAATATGGAGTAAATTCAGTAATAATCCAACTCACCTGGATCCTGGGCTTATTTGGAGTTGCCAGCCCCGTGAAGGGCAGAGATTAGGCAAGAGGTAAGAGCCCCATTTAATTGGATCATTATTGGACGAGGGCGCCCAAGGAACAAGGATGCTGACTGCAATAAACCTAGAATCCTATCTCATTTATCCAGAAAGTCTTTATTTGCATTCCTACTATTGGGCACATGCTCATAAATTCAGAAGTGGCATAAAGGAACACAAAGCCACCAAAATAGATGCCACAGATATTAATCATCCAACATCACACGCTGTCATTTGCAATAGGAGAGCGAAGAGCTACTTTACCTAAGGGTGATACTTTGTAGAAGGCTATGTTGACAAGAATTCTGAGGGGCTCTTCCCATCTCTACTAGAATGTGCCATTAGTGATTCAGGCCTGATGGGAGGAGGTGGAAATCTGGCCACCTGCCATGTTAAGTCCATTAAGCCTCCCTAAAAAGTCTTGCTTGACTCTTCCGGTTTGGGCTCGATTTTTTTTTTTTTTTTTAAGCAAGGCTTGAAAAAAGCTTACAAGGCAGAGTGTGATGCAATAAAAGTTAGACACATCCATTCCTTTTATCTAAATTGAATAACCCATCAAATTTATACTCTGCTGAGCACGGTCCACCTGTGGGTCAAGGATTCGATACTGCTTTAACAGCAAGTGACACTCAGTAATCCTTCTCTCTCCCCCTAACACAACTGTCATAGCCAGCAGCAGAAATTGTCTTTCAGTGTCCTTTACTGTTCAACTTTTCTCTAATGTTTGTATTCTTTAGAGTGTGAAGATGGGCTCCTAAATCATTGTTAAATTCACATCGCAAAGGAGCTTTTGCATGTCACAGTGTTACATGGCTTCATGTGCAAACTAACATGATTGAGTATTTTCAGAAGTTCCACAGAAATGAATTTGACTGATTTTGCTTAATACTGTTTGTTTTTTTTTTTAACAAATTATATTTTTTGAAATAGCATAAATAGCACATTTCATAGTTCCATATTTTTCTTTCTACTTTGTGAGTTAGCAGAAGTCACTGTTGGAATCACTGGGAATGGTGCCTTTGAATATAAGCTAAAGGAAAAAAGGAGTTCAAATACTTAAGAGCTGAGTAGCATGTATGTAAAGTAATTGACATACATGATTTCTATTTGGGGTGGGTCAGTGCTGGGGTTTGAACACAGGGCCTCATGCTTGCTAGGCAGGTCCTCTACCACTTCAGTCATTCCACCAGCCCTGTTTTATGTTGGGTTTTTTTCAAGATAGGGTCTTGTTAACTATTTTGCTCAGGCTAACTTCAAACCATGATCCTCCTGATCTCTGCCTCCCAAGTAGCTAGGATGACAGCCGTGAGCCACCAGTTTTCAGCCATCAGTGAGACAAACATTATTATCTGCTCTTTACAAATGAGGAAATTCTGCCTATGAGAAGTAAACATTTACCAAAGACCCCATAACTAATAAGTAGTTCAACCAAGATTTGAAATGAGATTTCTGATAATAACCTCAGTGCTTTCCCAGTCTTTCTTCCATGAAAAGCTCGGAAGTTTAAATGGTAAATGCTGGGTGAAATCTTTTTATTAACTTGTAGTATTTGTAATCAAAGTAATCACCACCTTTTATAGATTTTCAAGTTAGGGAACCAGGTGCGTCTGTTCACAGTTTTACAGACTGAGGTTATTTGCCTCAGCCACATGTCATACAGATGAGGACCCTGAGACTCAGAGATGGCATGGTTCAGGTAAGGATACTCAGCTACTTAGTTGCAGACCCAAGGCCAGAATACAAATCTCTTTTTAATTGCCAAAACTGTTAAAAAGACCATTTTAATAAAGTACATGCTTTTTAAACCTGTGAAGTTTAAAACAAATTCTGATAATATTAGTCTAATTGTTTTTTATAGTTTTGGCAATTCAGTGGATTTTCATAGTTATCTTCAATGTTTATTTAAAGAGACTGTCTTGCTCTTTCCCTACGATGTGAGGATATGAGCAGAGTAGGGTCTTATGATAAGACCTAATTTTAAAAGAAGGCTAGCTGGGCAGGGGAGGGCACTGTGGGGGTGCATGTGCTATATGCCAAGGTGTACGGGCCAGAGGAGCAAATCAGATTTGTTGTCTAAAGTCACTACCATGAGGGCAAGTTTAGACAAAATTTTTAAAAAAGCACGAAAGATTTTTAAAGTAATTTTACCTAGAAGCACTGCATGCAAAGAAAAAATGCAATCAGATAATCATTATACATATGTATGTGTACATATAATCTATCTATCTATCTAAATATATAAAGAGAAGTTCAGTGTAAAAAGGTGATTATAAGCCAGGTGAAGGGAAAACATCTGTAATCCCAGCCCAGCTACTCTGGTGAAAGCAGTAGGATTTAAGTTCAAAACCAGCCAGGGCAAAGACCCCATCTCAAAAATAAAAGGGAATAGCTCAAGTGGTAGGGGCATGCCTAACACGAGCAAGGCCCTGGGTTCAATCCCCAGCACCACATGTACAGCAAAAGTTATTTATTATGCCTTTCCCCAAATACAAAAGTCATTAGCACTGGGCAACCCCAGTGGTCCAGAGTGCTACCCCCAAGACTGAGAAGCACCTGTAAGAGACACTGCTTGAGACTCATCCCAGCTGAAGGTCGTGGTCCATCAGGTGGACTGTGTGAGTGACTGGGAGCAGATTCCTGAAGGCTCTGGTCTGTGAGATGCTGCTGTGAGCACATCCCTGTCTGTGGCGAAGCAGCAGGCGCTCAGTGCAAGGCCTGAAGCTCACGTCTGCTTCCACCTGACCTTCCACCTGTGTCATCATTATTTCTGTCTTCCTACAGTATTTCCACTACATGGTTGGGATGAACCCATTCATCAGCCTAATGGGCTTGAATGGGCCTCTTTGAAGTCCGCTGGGATATGCCTTGGTCTAAAACAAGACTGGTTAACTGCACTTTTTTAAACTAGAAATTGATGTCTTCCCATAAATTGACTTTGTGGGGTTATGTGTGGATTCCTGTAGGGAAATGGCCTCTAAAACTCCTGAACCTCATCACCCTCTACAACCAGTTGATGTCCCCTGCCCACTCACACAAATCTTCAGGCCAGGGTCTGCAGGGACAGAATCCTCAGCAAGTGGGAGTAGCGGCTGCTTCTTTTCCTGCTCCTGGGTCTGTGTCTTGGCTCTCTCCTTCTGCTCTTCATTCACTCATTCCTTCACTATTTATTGCAACTCCACTTCCTGCAGGAAATTCAAGTGCTTGAGGATAGGCAAGGGTGTTCACTGCCCACTGTTTATTCCAGTTGAATTTGTTATTGTAATTGTATAATTTAATTGGTATATAAACTGAAGGATGAGAGGGAAAAGAAAGTGATGCTGTAAAAAGAAAAGTTTCAGTTATATTTTTCTCATTCCAAACTTAAACAGAAAAAACTTAATAGCTCACCACTGACCTGTCACATCAGATACAGCGGTTTCTCTCAACTAACCAACTCCATTGATCATGGAGTTACATGCCTCCTGAATCTGTCTGGCTATATTGTCCCTGGACAAATATCCCATAGCTGTTCAGTTTGTTTATAAATTGGGTTGTCTTTTTGTCTTAGAAATACCTAAGAACCAGGCACGTCATACGTAGGTATCCAGTATCATTGACGTTGAGAAAAGGGTGAGTCCTTCTTCATCCCCAAGCCATTCCAAGCTCTTGCAATGCTAATGGAAAAATAAAATATCTGGGAATTTCATTGTTGCCTTTGAAAGTGAGAGGATGCCATAGGCACATATCTTGCCACTTTTTAACCTACTGTAACTTATTAAAAATATGTTTATAGCCCTCTGGAACTTGCAAACTCTTTGTGGTCTCACTTAGTCATTGTTTGTTGGTCAGGGAGACTCATTTCCACAAGATTAGCCACGCTGGCATATGATTAAGTCACAATTCATTTGAATTAAGTCAATACCAAATTCATTCAACAAACGTTTATTAAGCACCAACATATATCTACTGGTTGGCTGGTAACTACTGGAGCCACCTTGGAGCCCATGGGTAGTACTCTTCTCACAACACCTGTGGTCCAGCCAAAGCCTTCAAGATACTGGGAGGTGAAGGATGCAGTGTACCAAGCAGGCACTCTCGGATCTGGCCCAGGCATCCATGTACCTGGCCGGTAGAACCAGGTATTGAAAGGCAAAAAGAAAGTTTCCTAGGGAAGTTCTATGAATTCTCCACATCTCATGACAAGGTTTGCCATTGTCACTTAAGTGTTAATTTTCTTTAAACTGTATGGCATTTGTCAAAGGACTGCAGAGACCACAAGGCATTTCACTGCTGTGTTTTCTCTTGTAGGACATCAATGAGTGCATTCTGGAAAACTACCCTGAGTGTTCCAACCCCAGGTTATTTTACATCATTCCATATTTCTGTGGACAGCATCCCAGATGCAGGTAAGGACTACCACATGCTCCAGGCATGCTGATGTGCACAAAGGGAGGAGCCCTGCCAGTCTGGCCCTCCATGAAATCTTCAGAAAGAAGTCTCAGCCTTCTAGAATTCAGTTCATATTTACTGTTACTCTTCAAAGACACCATTTGCTTCTCCAAGTGCCCTATAAGTAATGCAGTTAAAAACTCAGATTCTGACAGGCCTGTAATCCCAGCTACTTGGGGAGGTGGAGGTAGAAGGTTCCTTGTCTGAGGCCAGCCCTAGGCAAAAAGCAGAAGACCCTACCTGAAAAATAAAGCAAAACAAAAGGACTGGAGGTGTGAGGAGGTGCAGAGCCCCGAGTGCGATGCTCAGTACTGCCCCCTCCCCCAAAAGGGTCAGGCTCTGACAGAGTCCTCAGGGGACCACATAGAGTTGTGTAACTGGAATGCCCACAAAACCCTTTCTTATACCTGAAAAAGCTGTCACCACTCAGCCCATGAGAAAGTGGAGGCCAAGAGCAGATGCCCAGTCTGCTCCTACAAGCTGACTATACATGACACACTCTCTGAGTTCCTCGTTGAGTCTGAAGCCTTGAAAGTCCACAACCAGATTTCATAGTGTCTCTCTAATGAGGCATGCTTAGGAGAAAGAAAGGAAAGCTCTTTCCAGTGACCACCTGCCAGCTCAGCTTGAACACACGGTCTTCTTCACTGAGGTGATCAGCACCATTAGGGTGTGGCATATCCACATCCTGCTCAGCATCCCTGGGGTACCTGTTGGAAACCATCAGCTAATCACAACCTGAGGCAAGAACAGACATTCCTAAATGCTGCCCCCGACAGGTGATGCTGGTGTAGCTAGCAGTTAAAATTTCCTGTATCAGACACATGGCTGAAGCCTAGAGAGGAAATGGTGCTACAGCATGAAACTATTACCCTAAAGGAAACGTTGAGTAGAGGGTTCCTGTGTTCCTGAAGAGGCCAGAGGAAAGAGCTGGTTCTAAATTACAGAACATTCATGACATTTTCTGGCATATGTTGCCATATCTGCTTAAATATTCAGTGTGTTGTTAGTGTTGTTTTGTTTAACTGGCCATAACACAAGAGTTTGCTCATGGTGCAAATTGCAGCCATGATAAGCATTCTGAATTCAGGCAGCCTTTCCCCAAGGCTTACCCTGATAATCAATACTTCCTGATTCATAGTCAGTGCTTGATAACGGGAAGATTTTAGGCCAGATGACTCACTCTCCGATCACACCAGACTTATTTACTCCAAGAAACATGATTTTATGTCACCAAAGTAGTTCTCAAATTGAATATTTTCTGATCTTGGGCAGTGCACGTACTCATCTTGGTATACACCTGATAATTTTCAAAACTCCTTCAAGTGTCATCTTGTTCAACCTTATGACAATTCTTTAGGGGTAGGTAAGGGTTATTATCACCATTTTTCAAAGGAGATTGTTGGCTGGCCCAAACTCTCCCAAACGGTACCTGACAGTCAGGCCTGGAACCCAGCTCCTGGGCTTTTCTTACTTACATAAGTGCTGGCTCAGAAATAGGCCTTCAAATGAGATTCAGCTGTTTTCTCTCTCTAATATTTTTGAAAAAGATTTCCCTTTCAACTCTTGCAAAGAATAAGATGTGTCATAGCCATTACTGAATGTTGTTTTGATTTCTGCAGAAATACTATGCCAGTGAGCTTTGTATTTTAAAACTTCTAATTTCATTGAGTTGATAATCATTTTGATTCCTCTATTAAAACACCATTTTAATCATTCCAGATCAGTGTTCATAAGGACCCGTGTCTGTATTTGTCTTTCAACAAATATTTAGGCGGGGCTAGCTCACTCCCTTGTCAAGACCTCATGCATAGGTAGCAATACTCCTCTAGCCAGAAAGACTAGGGAAGGCCCTGAACCAGGCAGGCTGTACATCAGCTGTTCTTGCAAGGAGATCAGATTGATAGTTACACAACTGGGATAGGAAGGCAGAGAGATAAACTTTCCATGTGTTGTTGCTGCATTTTAAAAGCGAATCCTTGATTTTAAACGATTTTTCTATCCATAAAGGGAGCCTGGTGAGTGGGCCCTTGAACGCGCAAAGCTGAACGTGAATGAAAACTTCCTGCTCGTGGGGATTCTCGAGGAGTTGGAAGATGTGCTGCTTTTACTGGAAAGATTTTTACCTCATTACTTCAAGGGTGTGCTCAGCATCTACAAGGACCCAGGTAACTCCATTTATCTGCAAGCCCCTCCCGGGAGGGTCTGCTCCAAGGCTTACTCGCCTTGGCAAGGCCTGGGGAAATGAAAGAGTGAAATGATCTCTTGTTTTCCCGCCTTGCAAAGGAAGGTGAGAACATTGAGGTGTTGATTCCAAAATCTTGAACGTCAGGGCGAAACACAAACTCACCATAGTCAGAGACTTGATGGGTCCACGTATCTCGTGGAAACTGAAATTTGCAACATTTTTCATCAGCCTCGTCCTGAGTGTGTTGCTGAGGTGAAAAAAACGGATCTACATGTGCACATCTGCAACCCTGGATGGAAACAAGTGTGAGCAAAAGAGCCATCCTTATGGTACAGCAGCTCTAGCCTGATTGCCATTTGACAAAAATACTCTAGTTTGCAAAATTCAGGCACTAGAATAGGTAAAATGTCACGCCGAAAATACAATTAAGATTTTATTCTAACAAACCAAGTTCTCCAAACAGAAGCAAGAAATAGAAAGTGACAAAGCAATTACAAGGGCAGCCCATAGGATCACTATAAATATAATTACTTTCAGAAATGTATCTTTTCTTCTCATTATTTTAGTGGAAGAGAAAGATTCACACCACTGTTTTTTCTTCTCTCCTCTCCTTGCTACTGCTAGCCTTGCATACTTGTTTGCTGATTGGTTTGTGGTTTTATTTTGTTGCCCTGAGATGGAGGGTGGCATTCTGCTTTGTAAAAATAAGGAGCAGAGAAAAGCACCCAAAGCAGCAGTCCAACAGAACCTCGAACCACACCCACATCATGGGCAAGTACGGTAAGGCCCAGGCACATTGTTTTGCCAAGAGGAGCCCTGGGTCCTGTTATACGGGGGTCCTCCCACTGTAAGTGATGTGCTGGATGAAGAGGGGTGGCTAGCATGTACTGCCTTAGCCTCCCAACTCTCATTCAGAGACAAAGTCCAGTTTACCTACGTGTAAGAACATAACCAAAAATCTTAAGGTGTGTGCCCTACAGGTGTGTCTCCTCAGCAAGAAATGTGGTCTGAACAGCTAAAAGGATAATGACCTGGGATTTGAAATTAGGACTTCCTTTGCTCTTTCAACAATAGGCAATTGAAAGAGTTCACATTATTTAAATTTAAAGAATTTAAAGAGCTCTGCTGTGTCACGTTTTTACCTCTGTAAGACAGTAAGAACTCTGCTGTCTGCAAGGAGAGGTCTTATCCTCAATTAGACTTTTTTGAAGGAAAAAGGTTTACAGTAGTCATTGTTCTTTTCCCCCGTTACTTTTATCTCGTATAGCATGTGTGTCTGGTATTTTTGTGTGTGTGTGTGTTTGCGTCAGTGTAAAATACAGACTGTGTATGTAATACACAGTATGAGATAAAGGGTTAACTGAATCTTGGTGACACATAGTTATCAAATAAAACAAACACACTCCTGTCCTAGAGTTTGGGAGTGATATCAATGGGCCGCCACTAGAGTTCCTTCTGCAGCACACAGGCTAACCATCCTGGGATCTAGGGCTGATGCCATCCTCAGGATGCATGGCCCGACAGCTTATGGGGTGTAGATCTGATGACTTAGATGAGGACATTTGTGTGTTTGTTCCTAAATTCAAATAAGCCATTGATCTGGCTGTTGTCAGGGAATACCCTGTCAATATCCTACTGACTTCCTGGGGTTTTTTTCCATTTACATATGTGACATCTCAGAAATTGGGAACCTTTGTCTTACTATGGGTAAGCATCTTAAAGCAGCAAAGACTTCTGAAAGGTGGATTGCTCTTAGCTCTTTTACTCTCAGCCACAATCTTTCTGCCTGTAAATTAGAGGCTTTTTTTCCCTTTGAGGTTGGCACAGCAGTATATTAAACACCTCAGAGAGAATAAAAGACATTCCTGAGTGGTGGATGAAGGGCTTCCAGAAGCCCAAGGCCAACACACAGCCAGGCCACATAGTGCAGCTGTACCAGTGGTTAACGATGTAATCCTTCATACTGCCTTCAAGGTGCACCTGGGCTGCTGCTAGCTCTCCCCACTTTCCAACATGATGTAGCAAAAGGAGTAATTCATGGCCTGTTCCTGAGCAGAAGTGATTGTTTTGCATTTGGAATATCACCCCAGTATAACACTGTCTGCTGCTACAAAGCATGTACACAACAAACTGATCGTTGATTGGAGCTCTGCTTAGCTTGTCTTGGGCTCTATGGTCTCATGCATTGTCTCGTGATGTTTCCTTATGGTAACATTGAAGGTCAAGAAATCCATGTTTCCTCCTTCCTGAAGTTTCTGTGTCTCCCAAGGCAGAAGGCAAGAGGTGAGCACACACTCCTGGGCTCGGAGTATTTCAGCCTCTGTAAAGAGGAAGCACCTGTATTATTTTCTCATCGCTGCACATCAGTGAGTTAGTGTCACATAGGTTAAAGGAAGGAAACCTGCAGGTCCTTTCGCCATTTCAAACCAGAGCTGCCTCATCTGTACATTTTTAAGCTAACTTTACATATTAGATACAGCATGCTCTTGCTCTATTAAAGAATTTTAGGGCTGAGATACAGCTCAGTGGTTAGAGCACTTGCCCAGCATGCATGAGGCCCTGGGTTAAATCCCCAACACAGAAAAAAAAAAAAATTAGAGAACAGAGGGAAGAAAACCTAAATATAAGATGCCAAGGGATCTGGTGACCCTTCACCAGTGTAGATTAACTGACCATCTGAAAAACTGAGTTAATATGCAGACTCTCCTACTGACCATTTTTCTTAGGTGTTTGTCCTATTATGGAAAGAAAAAAGAGCAGGTGTGTGTGTTGACTTTTAGTAATCCCTCGGTAGCAATGCTAAAAACATGTACACCTGCTCATTTCTGAAGAGAAAGTATTGACTTTTCAATGACTATTTGGGGAACTAGAAAAATAGTAATGTCTGTTAGTCAAAAATGGGTTGTCATTTATTTTAGATTGGAGTGGTATTCATTACTTCTTTCAGACTAATACTACCTGTTCCAATGACTTCCATTTAGAGAAGTTAATACCCTTCCTAAACACAATAATAACAGTTTGACTGTTTTCCCCCAGTTCATTTGTTGCAGAAAGATATGCTGGAATCAGGTAAATTTGCCTCCTACCAAAAATATTTGAGAAACTTAGTCGTTAGAAATGTTTTAAGTTATTTTATGGGGTTTTTCTTTGTCTTTTTTGTGCTGGCGATCAAACCCAGGACCCCACACATTCTAGGCAAGCAACTCTACCACTGAGCCACACCCCAGCCCTATATTATTTTATATTAATGCTTAAGTTTTGTGAAGACCTGGCTAGTGTATTTCAGAAGAAGTTTCTTATGGTAGGACATACATAATATAAAACAAAAATTAAAGTTTTAGCATGATGGACAACCAAGAGAATATGCTTAGGTGTGTCCTGCCAGCTAGGGGAGAGTTGCTGATAATGGGACAAGTATATTTCCTAAGTAAGCACCCAAAAAACGCCGCACAAGCCTGGGTAGGACTTACATCTAGGGCGAAGCGAGGCCCAAGCAGGCTTTACCAGGAAGAGCAGCCTCCCTGGTGTAACGTACACAGTCCTAGTTTTTGTTAACTAATCTCTGTTATGTCTGCTATTTACTGAATTATTGAGAAATTGAAGCCAGCCCAGAAAAGCTGAGAGACCACAGTCACCTATGAAACGGAAAAGAAGAGGAAGACTCACATTACTGAGCTGTGATTATGAATTTACTTGGAAATAATTTTCCCTCCTTAATTCTTAAAAACTGACACGTTGGTCTGGGGCTGTAGCTCTGTGGCAGAATGTTTGCCTAGCATGTACAAGACCCTGGCTTTGCTCTCCAGCACTGCACAACAAACAAAGCATACTTTTGAGTGATCAGAATTTTTCTCAGTCACAATGTTTAGAAACTAAAATTGCAGTGTAGTATAAACTAAAATAGATAAGCAAATTACTTAAGGACAAAGAACATGTGAGTATTTGTGATAGGAACAGATATGAACATCCCTCTTGTAAACCAGTAACCAGTAACCAAACTGTTCTTGTTCAACAGTGCCACCTAGCAAACAGTCATGGAACTGTGCAACATAATATTAACCCATGACCTTCCTACTTCCCTGGAGACATGTGGCCATCCTTTTACATGGTATTTTAAATTCTTTCCGTTGCTAGCATTACATTAGTGTTCATTGTCAGCTTGTTTCCATTACAAATAGAAGCACTGGAGTCATAGAAGGGAATTCGTGGGCAGCCCTGAGACTGTGGTCGCCAAATATTACAAAGGAAAAATGTGTAACAAATTCCAATTAAATGACCTAAATACTGATTTTGCATACTTAAATGCATTTTTATAAGGTGGGCACTTTTTAAGTTTTTTATTTTAATATTTTATAGACAATGATGATACAGTTCAAATCAAATACTGCAGTATTGTTTGTTTACTATGCATGAATGACTAGAGCCTTCCCCCCAGTTAGGAGTATTTTACTCTGTGAGTTTATTTGCCTAGAAGTATTAAGATCTAAGGACATTTGCTAGGAAATAACAAATATATAGAAGAAAAAATAATATGCTATAGGAAAAAAATTTAAAATTTCATCAATATATCGATAAATCTATCAGGCTGAGCTAAATCAAATACTAAATGATGAACACCTGGCCTGTTTACACTAACAGAGAGTCATTCCTTAAAGAAAGAGCAGGAGGCTGAGTCAGGAAGGTCTTCTAGCTCTCTTGCCATGGTTCTGCCCCTATGACTGGAGAAAATGCAGGTTTCATTGGACAATCTTTAGGGTTGATTATTATGATATTAATGTATTATGCAGAATGTTTTAAAGCTGTCTGTTCTACCTTCTAACAGCTAGCACAATTATGGCACACTTTCTCCTCTACCCTAAAAATAATAATGGAAAGTCCCTAATGCTTAGGTTTAGCAATAGAGGCTATCACCACCTAGAGGACCGGCAGAAGCTTGGAGAGAGTTCATCATTCAGAATTCCTTCTTCCCTGTGGCTGTTG